CTCAACCTACCTGCTGGTCGAGCAGCCGCCGCTCAGTGCGCAACCAGCGTCCGTGTACCGCGACGACATGGGCTGCGACCCCATCGAACCGAGCGGGCGACAGGGGTGCGTCTGCCACGTGCCGATGGACGAAGCCGCCTCGAACGGCCAGTGACAACGTGGGCCGGAGCCGGCGGCGACGACCAGGGCAGAGGCACTGGCGGCGGCAGCGGGCGGGCCATGGGCGCCGCCCCAGCGCCGGCCGCGGTGCCTCCCATCACTGCGCCGGGCGTGACGCCGAGCAGCGCCGAGGAGGAGCCCGCCAGGAAAGTGCGGCACTGGCGCTGCAGCGACGCGTTGCGTACGTCGAGCTCGCGTAGCTTGGCCGCCGACGACTCGAATGCCTCCGAGAAGAGGTCGCTCCTGTGGCACAAGGGCGTCACGGTGGGAGACGAGAGGCCGTGCGGGCTGGCACCCTTCGCCCTGGCGGCGGCGCACCCTGGCGTGTACTCGGTGCCGCCTCCGCCCGCCGGCGGCCGAAGCGCGGCCGGCTCGGCCGGCGGCGGGGCCGGTGGCTGGGCCGCCGTCTCGTAGCCGCCGCCCCTGCCGCAGCCGGCAGCAGCGGGCCGCCACGAAGGCGTGAAACGGGGTGGCGCGGACGGCACCGCCGACGGCGCCGGCAGCGGCGGGGCGCGCGGCGCTGCCGGCGGGCCGCCGGTGGCGACGGCGACCTCGCGCCGCAACGCCTCCGTCTCGTTGAGCAAATGCGATGCGCGCTGCCGCTCGTCGACCAACGCGGCCTCGAGCGCCGCCGCCCCGTCCTCGGCCCTGCGCACCGCGGCGAGCGACTCCTCGAGCTGCGCGTGCGTCGCGGCCAGCTGCTGCTGGTACTCCTCCGCCACGCGCCTGCGGGACGTGTCCTCGAGGTGTCGCGGACGTGTCATGGACAGCTGCCGCTGGTGCTCCTCTGCCACGCGCCGCGTCTGCTCCCTCGCCTTGCGCACCGCCTGCGACGCGGCCTCCTGCGCCTCCCGCGCCGCCGCCCGCTGCTCGCCAACCTCGAGGGCTGACCGCTGCAGCGAGGCTCGGCTCTCCTCCTCGCGCATGGCCTGAGGCAGCGAGCCAGGCGGGGGGGGGGAGGTCATGAGCAGAAGCCGCGCGAGGCCAAGAGCCAGGGCCATGGCAAGGGCGGCCAGGGTGATGGCTATGGCGATGCGATGGCGATGGCGATGGCTCGCCGTGGCGGTCT